CTTTAGCATTTGGTAGCATTCACTTACCCACTGGATGTATTCAGAGCAGCAAAGAACAAATCCATATAAAAATGTATCTTGAATACTTTAATGTTTGCAAAGATCTTTAGAGATCACTAGACCACTAAAAAAGTAAAAATATGAACCAAGAAGTAAAATATGCCTAGAGTTCCCTTTAGTTTTAAATATCCTTTAATAAGTACTGCCCACTACTGGACTCTCCCACCCCAATAGGGGGCAGGCCGCCTGGCCAACCTCTTGCAGCCCCTCCCCCCACCCCAGATTGGCCCCCCTACCCCAATCAAGGGCAGGGCTGGCCGGCAAACCACCCATGGCCCCTTCCCCAGGCTGCTGGCCCCCAACTGGCCCCTCAACCCCAATCAGGGGCGGGCCCCGCCGGCCAATCACCCATGGCCCCTCCTCCCAGTCAACCTCCCACCATCTCCTCCTCCCAACAAAGCCCAGGCCTGATCTGCCCCAATTGGGGTGGGCCAGCCAGCCAACCTCCCACCATCTCCTCCCAACAAGCCCAGCCCCGATCTGCCCCAGTTGGGGCCAGGCTGGCTGGACCCCACCCGTGCACGAATTCGTGCACTGGGCCTCTAGTATACATACATTAAAGAAAAATTTAAAGCTATTTTCTTCATTGCTAAATACAATTGAAAGGCATCTCATGTTATTTTAAGATTGAGTATATAGTTTACAATTGTTAAAAAAAAAAAATCAAATAGGTATACAGTAGTCCCCCACTTATTTATTCTCTCCATGCTTTCAGTTTCTATGATCAACCACAGTTTGAAAATATTAAATGGAAAATTTCAGAAATAGTAAGTTTTACACTGCACATTGTTTTGAGTAACATTATGAAATCTCACACCATCCCACTCCATCTTCAGGGAAGCGACATCCCTATGTCCAGCGTATCTATCTACACTGTATAAGCTTCCCACCTGTTACTTAGTAGCATCTCAGTTATAAGATTAACAGTACTGCAGTGCTTGTGTTCGGTAAACCTTATTTTACTTAATAATGGTCCCAAAACTCAAGAGTACTGATGCTGGCAATTTGACTATGCTAAGGAGAAGCCATAAAATGCTTCCTTTTTTAAGTGGAAAAGGTGTAGAGGAAAAAACAGCATATATAGGGATCTTGGAACATATGTACTAGGAAAATGGGAAGTATTGTAAATGTAACAAAGTATATGCAGAGCTTGTATATAATGCTGATGAAATATATCAAAGAATGTGAAAAAATGGGTAGAAATATTATGCTCATAAGTTGGGAGACTCAACATAGTAGAGATATAAATTCTCCCTAAAATGATATACAGATTTAATTTAATTCCTATAAAAATGCCAGCAAAATTATTTAGTCTAATCTAAAATGTATAATTAAAGACAAAAGAACTAGACTAGCCAAAAAAGTTTGAAAAATAGAATTAAGTGAGAAGAATCACTCTACTTTATTTCAAGACTTACTATTTAGTTACAGGAATCAAGACCGTGCTATTAGAAAACCCAGACATACAAATATATGTTCAACTGATTTTTGACAAAAGTGCAATAGAGGACAGACAGCCTTTTTGACAACTGGTGCTTGAGCATGGCTAAAAATGATCCTCAACCTACATCTCACACCTTACATAAAACTTAATTCAAAATGGGTCATGGGCTTAAATGCAAAACATAGAGTGGAAAACTTTTAGAAGAAAAAAATAAGAGAATACTTTTCGGATCTAGGGTTAGGCAAATAGTTCTTAGACTTAATAGAAGTACAATCCATAAGAGGAAAAATGAAAAAAAATGATTTTATAAAAATTAAAAATGTTTGCTCTGCAAAGGGTTCTATTAAGAAGAAAAAAAAACTACTAAGAGAACACATTTGCAAATCACATATCAAGGAAGGACTAGTATTTAGAATATATTAAAAATAAACCTCTAAAACCAACAATTTAAAAAATCCAGTTAGGAAATGCACAACAGACCTTCACTAAAGAGAATATACAGATGGCAAATAAACCCATGAAAAGATGTTTAATATCATTAGCCATCATGGAAACACAAGTTAAAACCACAATAAATCACTACATACCTATCAGAATGCCTAAATAAAAGATAGGAACACCAAATGCTGGTGAGGATGTGGAGAACCTGATCTCTCATACATTGCTGGTGGGAATGGAAAATGGGCAAAAATGCTGGGAAACAATTTAGCAGTTTCTTATAAATCTTTAAACCCAGCTACTAGGGGACCCAGCAACTGTACACCTGGGAATTTATCACAAAAAACTGAAGTCTTATATGTTCATTATTTTACATTACATGTTACTGTACATCAATGTTTATAGCAGCTTTATTCATAATAGCCTAACAATGGAAACAACCTAGATGTCCTTAAAACAAAGCGTGATTCATCCATACCATAGACTACTACTCAGCAATTACAAAGAACTAATGACACATGCAACAACCTAGATAAATCTCCTGGGAATTTTGCTGAGTGAAAAATGTCCAATCCCAAAAGGTTAAATATGTGTGGTTCTTTAAATAACAGTCACGAAATGACAAAATTATAGAAATGAAGAACAAATTAGTGGTTGTTGAAGATTAAGAAGGAGGTGACGTGGAAATGAAGTGTGTATGAGTATAAAAGGGATCCTTCTGGTGTGGAAAGTTCTCTAAACAATCAATGTCAGTGTCCTGGTTGTGGTCTTGTACAATGTTTTTGCAAATGTTATTATTGAATAAAGCTGAATAAAGGGTACAGCGATCTCTACTGTATGTGAATCTACAATTATCTCAAAATGAAAAGTTTAATTAGAAAATAAAGGTAGCCTTACTACTGAACTGCAAAATAAGTGCAACTGACAAGAAATCCAACGCCAATTAAATGAAGCGCTTTCTTCAGCACAAGTTTAATTCTGAAGATTACTAAGAAACAAAGTTTACGAAACACATTTTTCTCACCCACACATGCACACACACACGGCCCCTGTAACAAGGCAGTTCCGATAAAAAAACCGAGACTTCTCTAAGTACATCACAGAGGAGGAGCCCTGGCGGGATCAGGGCTGTCCGGGCTCCACCACAGAACCACTGAGTAGCGGAGACGCATCGCCTCGCCTCTCAGGCCACAACCCGTAAGCTGTTCCTACAGCGGCGCCTTCCGACTCAAGAGACTGCGGAGACCAGCTCTCAGACTTTTTGGTCTCAGGCCCCCCGGGGAGCTTTTGTCTGCATAGATTACAACCATTGATATTTGTAGTATTAGCAATTAAAATAAAAATTTACAAGACAAGTGTGCACAGAGACACATCCCATCGGCCCTCCGGACGGTGAGGTCCACATCATTTAGCCTCTGAAAAAGAACCAACTCACAAGAAAACAAGCATGGGAAAGGCAAATAACAGCTTGGTATTGTTAGGAAAATAATTGCGACCACACGTTGAGAACCGCCGGCTTCAAATGAGGTAAAAAGATATAACTAGTTTGAAAGGTATAAAACAGCGGACAGCTCAGTCACCCGGCTTTTAAAGCACGGGGGTGCCAAGGTGCCCCCCGCCCCCAAAAGAGGGTGGGGGAATCGAATTTTAGCGGAGGGCGAGGAGGAGGAACGCGCGCCGGATCCCGAGGGTCGGGTCAGGGAAAGGCCGCGACTGCAGAAAGTCGCCACCGTTGTAGCCATCGGCTCGGTGCCCAAAACCGTTACAAACACACGGACCCACGATCACTGTTTCCCATTTAACTTT